AGCCTCAGCAGTCACTGCCGCCGCCGCAGCCGGGGGCGGCTGGGGGCTCCGGGCAGCCGAGGAAATGTTCGTCGCGGCGGAACGCCTGGGGAAACATGTCCTATGCCGACCTGATCACCCGCGCCATCGAGAGCTCCCCGGACAAACGGCTCACTCTGTCCCAGATCTACGAATGGATGGTGCGCTGCGTGCCCTACTTCAAGGATAAGGGTGACAGCAACAGCTCTGCTGGCTGGAAGGTGCGTACCCACCCTGGGCTGGCGGCCGGACCTGCTGGGCCTCTTGCGCAGCGCGAGACGCGCCTTGGATTCTTCGGAGCGCGCCTGCAGGCGCTGGGGAGAGGGGTTGGCCCGGGGAGCCTCTGCTGTGAGGCTTTGGGGGTTCTTTTTTGACCCCCGGAGGAGGGGAATCTGGGGACAGCCGTGGGGTGAGGGGGGTTGGAGGCTCCCAGGGAAGCTTCGGGCACGGCCAGAGGTGGCAAGGGATGACCGCGAGGGAAGGACAGAGGGACAAGAGTGCATTTGCTGGATTCCCAGGACAGCTCTGACGAGGTAAGTCCGCGGTGAGCGTTAGAACAGAGTGCCCTGTATTGGGGTCCAGCTTGGATGCTCTGGGCGGAGTGTTTGGGACGGTGTGCCGTGAGCAGGCGTTGAAAGTGTGTTTCCAGACGGCTCTGTGAGAATCTTGGGTGCAAGTTTCGGGCTAGTGGGTGTTAACTCCTTCAGACACACTGATCCCATTAGAAGAAGCAATGGTTGCAGACCTTTTCTGGGCAGGCCCTCTTTCCTTGCCTGTGTAGACATCTTTACTCCTCAGAGCTGTTCCTCCAGTTGACACACCTCGGTAGCCTCTGAAATGTGGGCCTGTAATAGGCCAGCCTTGCTACGAACCTGCCGCACCTGCTGCTACCCCAGAGGCCTGGACTCTGGCCCTGTTTGAAGCCAGTCCAGTGTGGGGAACTAGTGACCTGCGTTTTTCACGTAGTACACTGGGAGGGAGGTTCGGTGGCAGAGCTGGATCATAATGGTTTCTACTAATGAACCTGAAGAGAGACCCTGCTGTTCCTTCCCAGCCTCTTGGGGCACTTGACAACACGTGGTAAGGAGAGAGGTGTGGAAAGACCTATGATGTAATGACTTCCTGCAGTTGGGCATCCAAAGACATTAACTCCTAGGTCCCTGCTGGGCTGGTGATAATGTAGTTGCTTTGCTCTTCTCAGGCACCTCCCTGACTTCTTCCCCCAAGATAAAAATGTGCCAGTGTCAGGCAGAAGAGAGAGTCCTGGGCAGTTGGAGATACACATCACTTATCAGTTGCTCATATTTGCAATTCATTTTTTCATAGGTAGTTGCTTCCTCTTTCTGTCCCTTCTGTCCTTGACATTGGGCAGCCTGGGGTCCTGTTTTCCAGTAGGTGTATGAAATAAGAGCAGTCTTGGTGGAGAACTGAAGCATGGAGAGAAGTCTTGTGTAGAGAAAACTAAGGAGTTTAATAGGGGGAACCTTTTCATTTGCTTTTAGAAAAACCTTGCAAACAAAGTACTTTTTAAAAAAGACTAGTTTTGGAGAAGCCTTGTTTAGATATTTTAAAGGCAAAATGTGGGCTTTACTATTCCACAGGTCTTGTCTCATTTCATTTACCAAATGCTGACATTAGGGATCTTTCATTTGATCTAATTTTATGGCTTTTCAGAGGAATGCCACATGTGTGGTATGATGACTGTTTACAGAAAAGATGAGCGTTAGTCCCATTTCAAAGCAGTGCTAGTGTGATACTTTTAAAAGCTGGGTTTCCCAGTATATGGCAAGGGTTAATCTCAGTGTAGTGTCAGAAAGGGTCTGTACAGGATTTGCAAAAGCAGATTTGGGGGGTTGGAATATTTTTCAAATTTCTCACACTTTTAGTTTTGCATGTTTGAATTTGGTACAGAGAACCTGTTAAAAGTTAACTTTTAACTTAATTTAAAAGTTAACATAGGGAAGGTTTTTACCTTTCCTGTGATTTTTAAGATTACAAAAGTAGTTTAATTCCATAAATAATGTGTTCTGGTTTTGCGTTTACAATGAAGTAACTGTAGATTAAGTTTTTTTTTTTTTTTTTTTATGACGATTTACTTGAGAAAGTGGTAGTACTAAAAATGGGCATGAATTAAGATCGGTCTATTTAAAGTTTCATATAGTTTGCAAGACATGCAAGACATGCAGTAGCAGTTTGGGGCCTAGTCATAAACTTTGTGGCTTTACGTCATAACCTTTTTTTTTTATCTTAGGGTTTCTTTTATCCTTTCCTCCTATCTCATCTGTCTTCAACTAAAACCTTATGACATACTGAAAATTGAAAGTCTCGAGGCTTAGAATGTTTAATACAGAAGCACATGTTTTATAATTATTTATACCCCTGATTTTTTTAAAAACCAATTCTATTTCTGAGTATCACATGACAACTAATCCGTGAAGACCGAGGGTATAATTTAGTTAGTTTAGTTTTTGTAAGATGACCTTCATCAAAAGATGCAGCCATGCAGGAACTTCCAAATCTTTGATGATGGAGAAGGCCCTTTGAAACTGGGGCTGATTTCATATTCTGATTATGACTAATAGCCAATCCTTTTCTGTGCTTGTGGTTTAGTGGGGGTGGAAGAAGAGGGATAAGGGAGAGGTCAGGAGCTAATCGTGACCCATTTCCATTCGTCCAAGTTTAGGAGTTGATTCCTATCGTGATTAGTCATTTTGGAAGCATGCAAGTGCATTTATGCCACACCACTTTCATTCTGAGTTCTGCATTAGGGTTTTTAACTTCTAAGAATGTCTAGAATTCATGTCCTAGTCAAGTGCGCAGAGAGGACACAAGTTGCAGGATCAAGGCTTTTTTTTTTTTTTTCCCTGTTATTTTAGGTGTGTACACTATCTCACAGATTCCCTTACCTCAGGCTTTAAAGTAGAAATGAATAGGGACCAGCAGGTGTCCTAATGGTTATGTTGCTGGATTCCCATGTAGTTGCATGCAGTTCAAGTCCCAGATCTGGTGACTTAAAACTCACACTGTGTGCATGTATGTGCATGCCCAAGATCCTGAGAAAACAATGGAGGAGAAGGGATTGTGGCACGGCCATCCACGTTGGGGGGTGATTTCTCGCTTTCTGTATCTCTTGTTTCTCTGGCAGGTACACATTCCCTATAGTAAAAATGTCTTTTAAAAAAAAAGTAGAAATGAATAATCAAATGTGGGTGAGAGAGAGAATAAGAAAGCACTGCCCATGGAGGACGGCCACACTGCAGTCACTTCTTCATTTCTCCCTCTATTAAGGATTTTGGTCTTACACAAACACATGCCACTGTGTTTTTCAGGCTGTGGATCCTGCACTCACACCCGCACCATTGGCCATGTAGGATCCAGCTCCCTTAACAATCATGCCACCAGCTGGCTCACAGCCTTACTTCTTTTGTGAATATTTGGGTCATTGAATTATGAGATCCTGTAACCAAAATTTTCACTGTAAGATCACAGAATGAAAGATTTAGAAAAGAGACCTTGGAGTTGGGAATCTAGACCAGTGATTCTCAGTTCTGGTTGCATGTTAGCATCACCTGGGAGAATCTGATCTAATAATTGTATGATGTGTGGGTCAGCTTTGGTTGTTTTTGTTTTGTTTTGAAGTTTGTCGGATGATTCTAATGTATAGCCAGGATGAATTTTACGGATGTAGTTCGACCTCTTTATTTTACTGGCAAAGAACCTGATTTTTAGAGAAGTTAATGATTTTCCAAAGATCACTGCTAGTTAGTACAGAACTAATTAGTAGTGGTGGTTGCAGAGATCTTTGTTCTATGTCACACTAATTTTCTTCTTTAAATTGATCTTTTAAAAAATGTTTTAGGTCATTTACTAAGTCATGGATAGCTTCACAGAAGTTGAGATTGAATTCCTGAAAAGCATATTTGTTTCTTAGTCTGAAAACATCTCGATGGTTATTTCAGCATCAAAAGAATAGGTGGCGGTTAATGGATGCTGAATGAGTGTGTCATATATGTCTAGTTGTGCATTCCCTTTTAGTATGGGTGCTTAGGAACTGTGGGGAGAGAAAAGTGCAAGAAAGTATTTTAACAAAAGGAGGAAGCCCTTGGCTAACTTACATTCGTCAGATGCATAGTGTGCCAGGGAGAAGGATGGTTCTCCTCAGAGAACCATCTCAGAGGTTCCCTTACCTCAGGCATTAAAGTAGAAATGAATAATCAGATGTGGTTAAGAGGGGAAAAGGTTACATTTCCTTTAATTCAGATTAAGCTTACTTGCACTGAACCGTAATTGAATTAGTGAGTTCTTTCGGTTCCTCTTGTCTTGGGCAGACTTCTGAGGACTCCAGGGTTTACCTGGTAAAGCCTATTTATCACGTGTTGCCCTAAGCACACCCACACACCTGCATTTCCCATGGTCAGGAACCTGTCATATTAGGCAGCTGTGAGTTTTACGAAGGTGGGATCCTGTAGAGTTGTGCTGCTGCAGAGGATGATGTTCTAAGACTCTGTCTTCCTGCATGGATGACCGTGTGTCCTTGTGACTGCTTGTGAAGGTAGAAAAGCAAAGGCTGACCTGCCACACGATGCTCATTTATGTCCCCACTGTTTCTGTTCTTTAGATTAATATAGCCAACTCCTTTTCAACATCATATATTAAGAAAATGTTATTTTGGAAAGCCAGCGGGTGTCTTGGTAGTTAAGGTGCTGGGCACTCCCACATAGCTGACTGTGGTTCCAGTCCAAAACCTGGTGGCCTGCTTTCTCACTTTCTCTCTGTGACTCTTTCTGGTCAAATTAAAATAAATAAATGAACAAATAAAATTTAAGAAGAATTATTGAAAAAGGAAAATGTTATTTTAACTGCAACTTTTGTTACTTTTTTTTTACTTGAAAATGACATTGTCATACTAATTCTCTGTTGGCTCATAATTTTGACTTTAGTCACCTTTTGGGGTAACTCACCAGAGGGTTAACCATAGTTGTGCACGAAGAGTCTGTCTTCTGCTTCACTCATGTTGCCAGAATGTTGTTTTGTAATTTCCTTTGGCAGTGCTGTCTTCGTCAGTGATTCTCGACTAATACACTTCCTCTTTCTACAGCAGCAGTACACTAGGGGGATGGTTTTTCCTCTTTTTCAGAGTCGTGTCATTGACCTATGAAGTGAAGAAATTGACCCTTTTAGACTTTGATCTGTGAGCCCCATGTCATGGAGAAACTCTTTA